CCCTTCTTGTAGTGTGCCCAGATGCTGGCCTCAATGATGTGTTTTCCTATGCTAGATTATGTAAGCTCAGCAAAATCTATATGCAGTCATCTTGCAGAAACAGTAATTTTAAATACATTCTGCAATGTGTGGACTTTTTTTTTTTTTTTGAAGCATTATGAAAAGAAAGTGTATGCCAAAGCAAATTCTTATGCCTCTTCTCTGCTGTGAAAGTAACTGTATTTTCATACATCCTGGTTCTGATGACTTGCTCTCTCTTTTGAGTTCTGAGTCTTAATCTTTTGAAGTGGAAAAAAAATCTAAATCACATTTTTATGCTCTGTCCACAATAGTATTTACTGGGTTGTTGTGAGAGGGTCAGTCTAGTGCAACAGAACTCTAGACTGGCCAGATACAGTTATAGGGCTGGGCCTGGGGATGTGTGGGCACAGTTAGGTGAACACCTGCAAGCCTGGCAGAAGATTTAGAAGCGATTTGTTTCTCCATGGAGATGCAGCTGAACTTAAATTAATTTCCTTGTCCTGGGTAAATTACTTGGTACTAAAACGTCACTGTTCCAAAGTGACCACAGTTCTTGTTTGAGCTTGCCCTGAATAAGTAGCATCGTAAACTGAACTTTAATCTGAGGAGCAATAGCAGTTTGTGCAGGAGAGGGACTGTATGGTGTTGTGCTGGACCCAGATGAACGCTTGGCTGGAGGCAGAGGGAAAACTGCTGACTGAAACTGTATTCTACCTGTTTGCAGCAGACAATTTGTCATTTGTCAGGCATCTCAGAACTTGGTCAGTGGGGGATGAGGACAAAGTAGGGTTGTGAGAAGCAAGTTTCAGAAGATGATAGAGAGCCAGCTGTTTGAATGTCATAACCACAGCATAGTATTCTTACAGCGTGCATCTGTATTTATAGCTACACAAATGCTATTACATCTGTATTTTTGTAGTATTGTATCTTCTCTTTTCAACTTGAAAAAAAATGGTCTCTGTTGTCTTGAAGGGTATAATTTTTCCAGAAATCTATATTCCTTTTGAATCTGAAGATGACAGTAAATCTACAGACTTGGTTTTTTTTTTTTTCAAGTTGAGTTTATGTGCAAGGAAAGTAATAAATTATATGAGAAATGAAGTTAAAACTAAACCAGGAAGTCCTTGGCAATACACTGAGTTCTTGTCCAGTTCTGTTCTCTTTTTTTACAAGGAAGCATTAAATTCAGTAGGTAATGTTAACAAGTTGTAGTAGAACAGATTGTTTTTTATTAATGCTGGTCAAACGTAAAGCAAAGGGGCTCTCAGAAAGACAGGAAAACTCTGTAAAATGTTTTTTTTTCTTCTTTATTTTTCAGGTATAGTTTGTCATATATTCCTTATGCAAGGTGAGTGCATAATTCCATTTTAATGAAAAGCTGGTAACGTTTGTTAGAGAGAAGAGTCCCGTAATTCAGTATGTGGGCACAGCATCCTTTTTTTTCTAATTTTTAGAAAATGATACAGTAAGCACAGAGTAACACTTGATGTGAGCTTTAAATGCAAGTGCTTAGTAATTTTATGTTAAATTTCATTCTAATTTTCATCCTGAAAAGATTTTTTAATTTCTCCACTTACTGAAAAATGCATTGGTGCTGTAGTCACTTCTCCAGCTCTGAAATTAAAGCTAGCAGGTGGATCTGAGCCCTTAGGTAAAGGCAAACAAGCAGAAGTTCAGCCACTAACTCTGCTTCTGAATTTCTCCATCATTTTAGGAGAGGCAAAGCAATTCTTGGTGTTTATTTTCATTTACTTTTTGGCAAACTTCTCTCTTTTGTTTATGAAGTGGAAACATAAGCTAGTGAAATACACGGTGAAACCACATGCAGTTAAACACAGTAAAGAATGGTTTTTTTCTCTTGTGTTTCATGTAAAATGCAGTGTGGTATTTCAGCAGTGCATTTCCCAAAGAGTAAGGTGCTTCTAAATTCATGTGTATCATTTAATGAAGTTTTCTGTCATGAAAGTGGGGAAGAAATAAAACAGCAATTACTATCTATCCCTTTCATCTTTTCAATTTACAGCATTTCTGCAGCTTTGCAGGAAAGTCTGTAATATAGACTTCTTTTTAAAGCTTGAGTTTTTCACACAGAGGGTGGTGACACCAGAACAGGTTGCCCAAGGAGGTTGTGGATGCTCCATCCCTGGAGGCATTCATTGCCAGGCTGAATGTGGCGTTGGACTGCCTGGTCTGGTGGTTGGTAACCCTGCACATAGCAGGGGGGTTGAAACTCGATGAACTTTGAGGTCCTTTTCAACCCAGGCCATTCTGTGATTTGGTCTAGGGAGAATTAAGCTACATGCATTTTTAAAGACAGTTCATATATTTGATACAATTGCAGTGGATGAAATACTTCAACTGATGTTTCGCATTGTGGGTTTACTCCTGACATCCAAGCTTCATCAGTCAAAATGAATGGTTTGAATTCTTGTAGTCCCTGTGGCCATGTGATGGTCCCAATAGGGCCAGCTGCTGCTATCTCAGGAGTGGCTCAGACTCACTTCCTGTGGACTTGGGTGGCTGCCTGGATGTGGCTGTGCCCTCTAGCCCTGCCATGCTGACCAGTTGCTGTGAAACAGCCCTGAGCCTTGGTGAAGCCACAAAGTGCTGCACCGCAGTTTGTAATGCTGTATGCAGTGCAGGAGTGGTGAGCACAGAGCCGAGCCCAGAATATGGGTGTGAGCCTTTGCTGCTGCTGGTAATGGATGGGTGCTAACATCCTGTATCAGTTCAGAGTTTGCATTTGTTTAATGATTATTGTCTTAAATTTTTGGAGTGTTTTTCATTTTCAGTACGTTGTGGTTGATGTCTATAAACAAACCCACAAATCCCTTACCTGGCTTTTTTTTCCTCTCTTCAAAGGGATGCTGTGATAAAATGCTTCACGTCCTGTCTGGAATAAATTGCAAACAAGGACCGCCGTGTACTTTAAAGCAACTCTTCTGTGAACTTCCCTCGGAAAGCCTTACTTTTCCACTCCTGCAATTCCCAGTAACAGCTTAGTATTTTCCTCCCCTTTTACCTTTAGGGGGGTTAAATAACTTTTACTAGAAGCAGTTTTCAAACTACACAGGATGAACTTTTCACCCTGAAACTTTAAGGCTTTTTAACCAAAAAAAAAAAAAAAAAAAGTATGTTTAAACACTTTGCAAAGAGCAGTCTTAAAACTGCCCTGCATGCAGTAACACAGCTCGTTCCCCAGTGCAGGAGGGCTGCTGCAATGCAGGCTGTGCAGCGTGCGTCGGGTTTGCTTTCACAGTTCTGTCTGAAACCTGCAGCGCCGCTTCTGTTTGCGTCGTGTTCGTTTGTGCTTTTCCAAAGACAGAATTTTATGAGCATTATAAAGATGTGGTAAGGTAACTGCTGCTTTGAAATTCCTCTACTTGTGTTTTATGGAGAAAGCTTAATGAGAATACGTGGAAGTCCTGTTAAAAGCGCATTGATTTTTATTAAAACTATATTTTCAACTTTTTTTTTACTTCTAAACTTAAAGACTGTTTACTAAACAAACTTGTGGATAATGTCTAAATAAATGAGTTGTGAAAGAAACTTGTTTGAAAGGTGCTTAAACTTTTTTTCTTACTGAGGAATCAGCTAAAGAGAGCTGAGTGCTTCAAGGATCATTCTTTAATAAAGTATGAAAATGGGGGGTATGTTTATGACTGAATCCAAATACAGTTAACGCTTGCAGGAGTGGTTCCTGCTGATGTTTGCCCAAACATCAGCATTCTCACTTAAATTCCACAAATGAAAGAAGGAATGTGAAAAGATGTGAGCTGCAGTGCTAGGATGGGGGGAAATGCCACATCACATTGAGGGTTCTGGCTCAGCAGCCACCTTGCAGTGTGTTCCTATTAAATCTCAGCATCTGTTGCAAAAATTAACATCTGTGGGGAAGCTGTACAAGAGGTGGCAGCGTGAACTTGCAGTTAAATTGCCCATCAAACTGCCCCATAACTGCTTGATGACAATAAAGGGTGAGTAAGGCAAGATAACTTCTATGTTGTGGTGAAGGGGCAGGGAGCCCACACCCTGCTGCAGGCCCTGGGCCTCTTTGGCACTACTTGGTGTGTGGGCAGACAGTGGCACAACCTGCCCAGTGCTGCCTCATACAAGCCATGGTGAGTGGTGGGACACTGGGTGAATCTCATAGCTTGCAGTGTGCGCTGCAGATAGTGAGGATGTGCCTGCCTTGATGGTGGAGGCCAGGGTGGCACCAACCAGAGCTGATGGCAGGAAGACTCCATCCTGTGAGGAGTACTTTGGGGATGGCTGTTGCAGAGCTTTTGTTGCTCGTTGGCTACCAGCTTGGGTACAGAATCACTGAGATCTTCAGTTAGTGCTGTGCTGGCCATGGGGGCGTTGTTTATGTTGTGTGTTGGGTGCTGAGCATTCATTTAATGGTTTGCATTAGAGCACCAAAATGAGTTCAAGTGCTACAGTCAAAAAATCCGTATACTGTCACACCATCATGCACATGTAACTCGTGTATTTTACCACGTTACTCTTGCTTTCTTGAATACTTGATCTGTGATCTGCTTTCTTTATCTGCACACGGAGCCTGTGTCGTGTTGCTTCTGTGGCACCTCTTGCTCCTTTGCATCGTGTCTTAGTTTGCAGTATGACAGTTCAGACAGTGCGTTCTCGTTGCACGACGCACTTCTATGCCTGTGAAGGCACAGCGGTGCGGCTCTCGCTCCCTGTGCGTTGCACGGATGGAGCCTGCTGCGGGCCCGGGGCTCGCTGAGGGACGGGGCAGCGCCCGCGTACCGGAGGCGGAGCGGGACCGCTCGGCGGGCGCGGACGATCGGCGCGGGCTGCCGGCGCCGCCGAGCTCCCGAAGAGAGGGGAGGGCCGTTCTCGGGGCGGGCGGAGGGTGGGCCGGGGGCGGGCTGCGAAGGACCGAGCCGCGGCCGGCGGCGCCCGCCGAGCGCACACGCGCGCCGCCGCCGGCCCGGGCTGCCGGTGGGGCTCCGGCCATGGGGCTGCAGCCGCGGCGCGCGGCGGGTCCCTGCCCGCCGGCGGGGCGGTGCGCGGCGCTGCCCTGGGCCCGCGGCGAGGAGCAGGACGGGGTGCCCGGCCGCGCCGCCTCCCTGCCGCCCCTCCTGCCGGCCCCCCCGGCCGCCGCCCGAGCGCAGCCCAAGAAGCCGACGGCGGCGGCGGTCCCCAGGAAGGCGGCGCCGAGGCCGGCGGATGAGAAGGCGGCTCGGAAGGCGCGAGGGGCGCCGGCGGAGAGGGCTGGCCCCGTCTCCGGCTCCTGGCCCTGTACTTCGCTGCAGCGGCGGCCGCCGGCGGAGCGGGGGGCGCGGCCCCAGCCCGGCGCGCCGCAGCCGCGAGGCCGCCCGGGGGCGCCGGGGGCGGGCGGCCGGTCCTGCGAGAGCTCGGGCGGGGCGGCGGGGGAGCCGCGCTTCGCGCTGAGCCTTCCGCCCGAGGCCGTGCGCCTGCTGCAGCGCCGCAGCACCGAACGCCAGCGCGCCCAGCCCGGCACCGGCACCGGCGGCGGGGCGGCCGCGACGCGGCGAGGGGCGCGGTCCGGCGGCGACGTGCGCGCCCTGCTGAAGGTATCCCTGCTCAACGACCGGCACCGCTACGACGACGAGGAATACGAAGAGGAGGAGGCGGCGGCGCCGGGCGCGGCGCCGGACGAAGGGCTGGTGCGGAAGTGCACCGAGTGGCTGCGAGGCGTGGAGAGCGCGGCCGGGCGCGAGCGCGGGGACCGGCTGGGCAGCCTGCCGCACCTGGGAGCGCGGTGAGCCGCCTCCTCCGGGAGTAACGGGAGGGGCCGCGCCGCCGCCTGCCGGGGACAAAGGAGCGACGGCCGGCTCCCGCCCGGCGCGGAGAGCGGCATCCTCCCGCCGCCGTTTTTAAGACTTCCCGCTCCTTTGTAAGATGCGCGCGACCGTTTTGTACATTTGTACATTTTTATTTATTTGAATAAATGCGGTGATTTCTGTGGTACGACGGCCTCCGTCCCTCCCTGGTGCTGTGTTCTCGGACGCCGCCCCGCACGGAGATGGGAGCGCGGCGGCCGCTTTGTTGGCGGCCCCGGGGCCGGGGCGCGCCCTCCTCCCTTGTCTCGGGCGGCCGCCGCCGCCGGTCGGCACCCGGCGAGGAACGGCGGCGTTCGCTGAGCTGGGTAAACGCTCTGCCAGCCGGTGCGGGAACCGCTCGATTGAATTTATGAAGCAAAATGAAACGCTTGAGTGCCGCGAATTGGAAACGATGGGTTTCATTGTGCTGTGAGTCGTGTGTACAGAGTGATGCGCGGCTGCGGTGACCCTTCCCTCGAGTAACGGGAGATAAATGATAAACGGTAGTTCGGCTGCATGAAGCGAGACCGCATCGCATCTGTGCAGTGTTTCATTTTGATCTGCGTTTGTTCAAACGCTTTTTTTTTTTTCTTTTTTTTTCTTTTTTTTTTTCCCTTTTTCTTTCTTAAGCCTCGGGGATGAGAGCGGAAATGCTTTAAGGATATTGGGATACATTGGTACGGCCACTGAAAATATTACCCACCTAATGAAGGTATGAAACTGTTCTGCTCAAAGCCCGCAGGAAATAGCGTGGGGCACGAGAACATACGGACAGTGATTGTCTTTTCACATCGAGTTGTCCGTAGCGCCAGCTCTGAAGCACACGCGCCTTTGTGCCTTTTTACCCGAGTTTGCACGTGGTTGTGCTGCATCCGCCGGTTGCCAGCAGCGTCTCCAGGCAGCTCTGCCCTAACAATGGCACATCTCCTGCCAAGCGTGATCTGTGCCAGCTGCACGATGGGACTTCTTTCCTCGGGTAGCGGTGAGGAGAACAGCAGATGAGTTGGAGCTGAGCCCCTCTCTCACGTGGGAATGGAAGCTTATAGAGAGCCCCCTGGGCAAACGCTGAGCATCGTGAGCTCTCCATGCTCTCACTAAGTGCAGGCAGTATGCAGGGAGGAGTTCAGGCAGCAAAGCATCCAAACCTTTACTGGTGGAGCTGGGAGATGTACTCCTTCAGTAAATGTTAGCAGTCTGATTGGTTGCTTGTAGTACTGGCTGTCTTTTCTGCTCTCTTTGGGTGGTGAATGACAACCTTTAAGGGCTTTTATCTGAAGCATCCGTAGGTCTTGTAGGCAGTATCCAGAAGGGCAAAAGATATTGTTTTCTTCATAGTAAGTTACTTGTGTTGATTCTGCATGTAGCTTCCCTCTCTACTGCAGTTAAAACTCATTTGTTCTACCTAAAAACCTTTTGTCCCTTTGAGAAAAAAAGTGTCAGGGTGCCCGGCACATCCCATGTCAACTCATGCCACTTCTGTGGCACGGGTGGGGAGCACACATTGGTGTAGGGTGGTGTGGGCAGTGCCAGCCAGGCCTCACGCTGTGCATGTCAGATGTCAGCAGGAGCCTCAGCCTGAGACTCCCCACTCAGACCCCTTTTAGCAGCTGAGAGGGAGCCGTGAGCAGCTGCTGCCATGCATGTTTAAAGTAATCGATACTGCTTTGGGGTAGAGAGCTTCCCTCCTTCCTCTGAGCACATCAGTGTGATTTATGATCAACAAAACCATTCTCCCCGTGTCTCCTTTTCTAGATGGCTGACATGTGGTGTCAGGCTCTCTGCTGCTGGTAAGCGAGGTGCAGATGATTGCTGTGCAAGCTCTGATAGAACAATGTGTCTTTACGTTTTCTTGTTTTGTTTTTATCATACTGGAGGCATGTGTTTTTGCAGTGAGGTATGGGAGAAGGACCTTAGGTCATTCATTCCATGAGGGCTTACCTAGCACTAGGAGGTGCTGGCAGAACAGCTCATTGAACCATGGAATATCCTGAGCTAGAAGGCACCTGTAAGGATCATCAACTGTAGCTCCTATGAAATGTTTAGGAATGATTTCCAGTCCTTACATTAGTTTTATACTGTGGTTAAGGCAACTGTTCAGTAAGGGTCACCGGATGTTCAGTTTTCAGCACTTTGACTGAGGATGTAATGGTTTCCTGATCTTTCTTGTCATTGCACTTCTGATTGCTGGTCAATGCTAAGCTCTGAATGAAACAGAAAAAGAAATGTCCCTACTTAAAAAATAAAACACACGGAAGAGTTGAGTAACACTGAATTGCTGTGAAATCATTTATAAAGAGCGAGATGTCAGACTTAACAAAGCAGCTCTGTACTTGGGATTTTATCAGCCTTTTTCAGCACTGCTGGAAGGACAGAGCTGAACAATGAGCTGTTCTGTCCTCTGGTGCCAGTGCAGCAGCTGATGGCTGCAGTAGCAGCTTGTGATATGGCGTGCTGCACGGGAACCCCTCCCTGCACACATACTCCAGGCATCGTGCTGGTGTACACACAGCTGCAACCAAACTAGCCCTAATGTTGATGGTATAGAAAGCCATGGCTGCTCCCTGTGTGGTTTATGGGGTCTCAAATTAGCATAGAAAAGAGCAAAGTGTGCTAATTCTGGGTATTTTATTTTTATTTTTATTTTTTGAGCATTGCGTTGATTGTACAGGTCACATCTGTCAGTGAGGTACCAACAGCTCCCCAGGTAAGTCTCACAGTGAGAGAATGGGGAATATTTTCAGCAATTTCCTTGTCAGGGCATCTTCTGAATGGAGAATCCAAGTGGGAACAATGCTATGCAATGAAAACTTCAGTGCTTGAAAGATAAACAGAAACTATTCACAGCTTGAAGGGGAGCAGATAATGACAAATCTTAAGAGTGAATTCCATGATTCTAACCTGGTGGGCCACTCCACATGGTAATGTGCTTTCTCCTCCTTGGTTTGGAATGACTGCAACTACAGCACTGGCACAAAAGGTACGCTATGATGACTTGGTGTTAAATGCAAGATGAGGTTGCTTTTTCCTGCTTGATGTTTGCAGCCATACGCATACATATTTGCTCTCTCTACACCTCCCTGAAGGGAGGTTGTGGTGAGGTGGGGGTCGGCCTCTTCTCCCATGTAACCAGCAATAGGACTAGAGGGAATGGCCTCAAGTTGTGCCAGGGGGGTTCAGTTTGGATGTTAGGAAATATTTCTTCTCCGAGAGAGTGGTCGGGCACTGGAATGGGCTGCCCAGGGTGGTGGTGGCGTCACCAACCCTGAAGGTGTTCATGAAACATTTAAATGTACTGTAGGACATGGTTTAGTGGGAGATATTGGTGATAGATGAACAGTTGGACTGGATGATCTTAGAGGTCTTTTCCAACCTTGGTGATTCTGCAACTGTATGAATCTATATGTTCTAAGAATGATTTTTCTCAGCTTGTAGGTAGGTAGTCACTGAGCTGCATTTAATTTTGAGAAGCTGACTTTATGCAGGCCACCCTGGGGTTGGTGCTTGGCTGATGTATCTGGAGGATTGTACACAATGTGTCATTAGCATGTCATTGCTCACAGTTACAGATAGAAGAAAAAATATTAATCTGCTGCTTTCAATCCCATGGCTTTCTGGTTTTTCCACTGAGCTTAGGCTTCTGTCAAAATGGGAAATACTCTGACCCACTTACTGTTAGTGATCACTGTGATGTCTTCAATTCCCACACGCAATATTGCCATGTTTAAATTACCACAGAACAGCAAATAATGGGTTTGTATTGATGCTCAAAATACCCTTTGGACTTGTTTGTGCTTCCTGGTATGTTTGAATAAGTTTATTGTGCAGAGTAAGGCATTCTTAACCCTATTTATTTATTTTTTGGTCTAGCATTCTTACAACACATACATCTCTACAGTGTTTCTCCCTGCTCCCATGGGAAATGCTTTGCTGCAAAATTAAGATTAACCAGATTATGTTTTTGTGTGTTTGTTTGTTTTGCTTTCATTTATCTACAGAAACATGGCAAAATAAACTCCGGTTTGTATGTCACTGGGAATTTAAAATCTTGCAATCTGTGGGTTACCTGGAATTCACAGGTCACTCCTAAGGATTTTATGAAGGCAGGCACTGGATCTCTAACCTCTGGTGGATGAATGCAGCCCTTGAGCAGAGCAGAAGGGGTGTCACAAACCTGCTCAGCAGACAGCTGTTCCCCATTGCTGACACCTGGCTGTGGAACAGCTCTCACTGCACAGGCTGATCTGCTTAATGGGACTGCTCCCTTAACCATGGCATTCAGCATGCACTCAGCTAGTGTGAGCTGGAGATCTTTGTTCACCAGGTTTGCTCTGACTCCTACAACTGGGGAGACTTTCTGCTAGTGGCTGAGTCAATGCAAATGAGGTGTTTTGCTATAAATCTCCTGATTATACCCAGCATGACTGAATGCTTTGCTCATATTTCACTGACCACCTGCAGGGTTTGTATTCCTGTGCATTCCCAATTTTATCTTTTTCCTTAAACCATTGCTAGTTAGAAGAAAATGGATAAAGAGGTGGTGGTGTTAATGGTCACACAACCACCTATTTTCATTGCCTTTTAGATGGAGTCATGTAAAAAGATGGATTTCACCCCACCAGACGCTGTTCCTAGATACCTGCCATAGTAGTTTCCAGGGTAGGCAGTAAGTTGTATGAGTAATGCTCTCAGCATTGCCTGGGCATTTGTTGGCAGCCACAGGGTTCAACTGTGCTTGAGGTGAAGCTGAGTGGTTCACTAGCACTTCATTTTTTTTCACTACAGTATAGAACATACTTTATTTATGAGATCATATCTTAAGGTCTTGGGTGTTTATATATCATTCGTAGCCTCGAAATTTATCTTCAGTTAATATAACAACGAAGATAATAAAATAACCTTTGTTTTGATTCTCTGAATGATTCACATCCCCCCTTCCTGGCTGTTTTGTTCAAAAATAAAGAGGTGGGAAGAGAGAATATTCCAAGTACAAAGGCAGAGGATGAAAGCATCATTCTGTTTCTGTTCCTCCTACATAATATTGCCATAGTAACAAGGAGATGAATGTGGCTGTTCATCACTGGAAGCCGAGGTACAGCAGACACTATTCTTATTCAAGGGAATATTAGTAAAATACAGATTTTTAACATG